TGATTTCCAGCAGGATAGGGACACCAGGAGGGCAGGCACACCTACTCCAAAGTCACAGCTGACTCTAAGAAGCTTTTCCTAACCTGGTAATGCAGTCTCCAAGTACTCCTGCCAGTAGGAAGAGGGATCTCTAAGATGCAAGGGTGAAGGTGAGAGGCAATCTTGCTTGCCCTCTTTCTCACATACAGTTGCAGAAGGGACAGGATGCCCACCCAGGGAGATCTGGGTGGGTGCAAGATGCCTCAATATATACAGTCCTGGTGCCAATAATTAACACATGTGAGACTGATGAAAGAAGTCAATGAGGGATGATTATTTTGCTGCCCTCATGAGAGTTTCTTCTCCCTCCAGTCCTACATCTGGTAGCAATTTTACAGCTCCAAACAGAAAGGAAGTAGATGAGAGGGGCTTAGTCAAGCTCAGGCCCATATGAGGAGAGCAGAGACAGTATGCTAGAAGGAAACAGACAGAATTTGGGAAAGCTGTTTTGCTTCCCATAACACCTGCGTTCTGCTGCAAAAGATGGAAAGGTGTATGGATTTTTTGTGTGATCTCCCATGCGTTACTTGGGCTTTGGGTATGGCAATAAGGGCTGTAAATCCATGAGTGTAATTCTTGCACCCTTCAGACCCCTTGAGTTTCCAATATATTGTGCTATATAATCTAACTCAAAAAGCAGTTTCTTGGGCTGCCTCACTCACATGCTCCAACCTAAGCATTGCAGGGTTGAGGGGAAGGGTTGGGATTGTCCCAGCCATGCAGTCTGATTTGCTGTGGGAGCACTCACCATGCACCTTGGGCACCTTGGCTTTCAGGTGTCGCTCGCACTTGGCCTTGGCTTTTAGCAGTAGAAAGATCTGCTCCTCTTTGGTGATGACATCATCAGCATCCACCTGCAGCGATGGGAAGAAATGAGGTTAAACCTCAGCATGGAAGAGCAGCAGGACACAAACTACCGAGATAATGCAAGTGTGATCTGAATGCAAAATCTCCATTGCATAAGCAGTTTTCTCTACCAGCCTTGCTCTTCCCATCTTATTTCAGCAATTGGTGTCCCAAGCAACAGCTTTTGCAAGATGCCACATGGAAACACCTGTGCACATGGCAAAGGAAGTGCACATTCCAATTGCTTATATCTAGAACATGCATGTACCCAGGAAGGGAGAGATTTCTTGGGTAGCATACCTCAGCTAGGAGAGATGAGGCTATTCCCCAAGGGAAAAAAGCATAAATAATATTGGCGCAGCATTTTTTAAACATTGGTCTTTTGGGAACATAGAAGTATAGTTAAATATAGCACTTAGAGAATGGCAAAGCAACGCTGTGCTTCCTGACATCAACCTCTTGGATAACACTGCCAAGGGTTAAATCATCAAAGGCTTCTCCCTTTAACAATCACAGCTTGGCATCAGTTTCCAACTTCTCATTCAGGCCTTCAGCCATGAGGCATCAGGTTCTATCAACATCGTTAGAGGAGTTAATGAGCTGACAGCATCTGTCTCTAAAGACTGAGGAACATCATCCTCCAGAGGTCAAGCTACAATAATGAGGAAGGGGTACAGGCAGAATTCTTTTCCCCAGAAACTACTTGCTGATACAAGATGTACAAGGCCCTCCAAGGCACTTGCTGGTTATGAAAACCCATCCTGCATCATGAAGATGGTGCATTCCCACTAGGCAAGGCTGCCTTCTGAAAGTATAGAGCAGGCTGGACCTACAGGTCCTTTGGTTGTTATAGCATGTAGATTTTTGACCTAATACAACACGGCTGCTTTCACTGGGAAAAAATTCTTTACTCAGAAAGTGATGAGGCACTGGCACTGCTGCCTGGAGTGGTTGTGGATTCCCTGTCCCTAGAGATGCTCAAGGCCAGGTTGGATGGGGCCCTGGGCAGCCTGATCCAGTCGGTGCCAACCAGCCCATGGCAGGGGGTTGGAGCTGGGTGATCTTTGAGGTCTCTTCCAACCCAAGCCATTCTATGCCCACCTTACCCTCTAGGTGTTCTATGATCTGCAGTGAGTAAGGACAACTGTGGATGGTATCTACCCGCTAGCATGCCTTCCTATTGAACACATACTTGTGAGATCTTTCAGGTTTGGGTCAACCGTGCTTTTCTGTCACATGCAGCAGAAGAGTCTCTGGGATATTGGGGCTAGGATCCACAAAATCACCTCAAAAGCTAATTTAAAGAATGAAAGATCCACATACGGTGCCCCCGAGAGGAAGCTGGTGGCTGAGGTACTGGACTGAAAGAAGAAAGTGATGTAGTAAGTTGGATAAAATCACTGCTCCCTTCACCGCCTCCATTTCCCTAACATTAGTCTGCTTTGATTAGACTATGAAAGCAATAGGAGCAGCAGTTATGTTCCTCTGGATTTACATAAAACTTAGCAGTAACTTGTGATAGTGTAATGTAATCAAGAAGGGCTCCTGTATTGTGTTATAGAAATAAACTGTTGTTTTGTTTGTTTGTTTGTTTTTTAATATATAAACTTATATTGACTGCTGGTGAGATTGGCACCACTGTACATCTGTAATGCTAAAACTTATGGCAGCACTCCATATCCTGATGGATTGAGCAGGTCTAAGCATCAATGCAAAGTACAAGCAGGCAAAGGAAAACACAAGAAAGAGAAGAAGTGAATTACTGATGAGAAGGAAACCTGTAGACAGGTTGTAGAGTCTGCCTAGAGTCTGAAGCAGGGCAAGAATGTTATTTCATTTTATTCCCCCCAAACTTCCATCTTCAGAACATAATAATAATGGTTAATTAAGTCCTACTCAGCAGTAAATGCAGATTCTAGTTCACATGCTCTCTATAGAGGGGAACAGTGGATGTTTGAGCAGCTGATGTAGTAACAGACACGCAGATGAGTATCTAGATCTGATAATGGGATTCTGAGTAAAACAGAAGTTAGTTTTTCATGTTCTTGGAAAAAAATCCACATTAAAATCCCTCGTCAAAACCACATTAATGTTAATGCAAAAGAAAGCCACCCCTTTCCAGATGTTTGGCCACTCCAATTTAAGGCAACATCCAGCATTTCAACTCTTTCATTGGAAACATAAAACCTTTGGGTTAAATCCTGCTGTCATTTATAGCTGCACAAATCCTGAATGATTCCACCAAAGCCAGAGGAGTTAGTCTGGATTTATAGTGGCTGAATGGAGCAGAGTGTGACCTCAGGCATTTCAAATAATTCATCCCTTCTGTGCTTCACCCTGAGACTCCTTCAGCCATTCTTTGTGAGGGGGCAGCTCCTGCCAGCAGGATGTATGGTCTCCAGGCCAGGCACAGAAAATAAATTTTATTTCCCAGAAGCAAAGCTGAAGCACCAAGCACTGTGCCCAGAGAAGAGTAGAAAAGCTAGAACAGGGCTTGGAACTGAATCTAGGCTGATATGAGTACAGAGAGAAACGTTTGAGGTTTTGCTGATTCTAGGTGTCCCTGTTTGAGCAGGGTGTTGGACCTCCAGAGATCCCTTCCAACCTCAACCCTTCTGCGATCCTCCTTGGCTGAGGAAGACGAAACGTTCATGTAAACATGCACATGAAAAAGAATAGGTATTTTCATGAAGTCCTCTGGCTTTAAGGAGTCAAGTGGTGGCATCATCCCTGGTGGTGCTCAAGAACCATGAAGACGTAGCACTGAGGGTCAGTGGGTATGGTGGGAATGGGTCAATGGTTGAACATGGTGATCTCAGTGGTCTTTCCCACTCCCTTTCCCATTCCCTTAATGATTCCACGATAATGCCCTCAATAATATTCTTTAGCCTTTGATTAGCCACAAAGAGCTCAGGCAGTTGGAACAAATTGTCTTCAGATCCCTTCCAACTAAACCATTCAACTTCAAGAAAAATCTAAAATGCTGTTCTTTTGCTGCTGAATAATTCATGTTAAACACCTACAAAGCAAAACTGGTCCAACTGTTGGATACAATGGCTAAATGCAGTCCTGTGAACAGCAAAAAATATGCAGCCATGCTTTCTGTTGCTATGATGGAATTTGGGAACAAGTTTTAAGACTGTAAAAAATTATCTTTTTTTTTTTTTTTTTTTCCAGTATATTTGACCATTATGCTGACCATTTTCAGTCAGCATGGATACACAATGTGCAAGCTTTCAAATGGTATGGATAGAGCTGCAATCAGACATTTAGCTCAGAAGTCTGATCAAGCCTCTCTACTGGTCTTTCATAAGCCCTATCTTAACAGAGAGGAATATCCCTCACTTAACAGTCATGCCTTATTCACATCATCTAGTTGCAAAATAGATAGACTCAAGAAATTAGACCTATTTCCATCAGACTTAGCAAAGGTTCCTTTTTGACAAAACAGTCTTGATACCTGATCCAAATAAACTGTGAAACGGCCTTGCTGAAATCATTAACATATGGGTACATCAACTTATTTTAATCTGAATATCCCCAGGCAGCAAAATAAGTGGCTCCACTTTCTGATGCAGGAAGATCTTGAGTCACTGGCTACCAGAAACCAGAATCTGACAGCTGTAGGAACTGTCTCTAGTTCCAAAGGCTGAAAGCTCCTGGGGATGCTCTACCAGAACAGGTCAACTCAATAAATCTATTTTTACGTTCCTATGGATACTTTTTCAAGGCAATAAAACATCATATCCTGCTGTGCATCTAAAAAAAAAATGCATGTACACTTAAGATGTGCTATGCTCAGCAGAACCTATTGTGTGCACCTGCTCTTCAGGACCAGGCAAAAGTAGATGAAGGGAAGGCACCAGATGTATTTCTTTCAAGCTATAACCTGCATAGATTTACATATTCAACACTTCATCATTTTTCACTAAGAACCTCTCCCACCTGCCTGGAGCTCACCTATTTACAGCTCAACTCCTTACTCTCTAATTCACTGGACACACATTAGTCAGCAGAAAGAAATTATTATAATATCTCACAAAGATAAAACCTGCCTCATTAGCCAACACAGGCCATCTATAAAAGCATTTACCTATCTGGGGTGTGTGAGTGTTTGTTTATCCAGGGTTCCTTAATACTCACTGCATATTCAACCACAGATATCAGTGGAGGTTCATGCCAAGCTACCAGCTGAACCAAGTCAGATCAGCTGTGCTTTTTTACAATTATAAAAAGACATGAATCAGGTAAAGGGGTTTTTCTTTTTTAGAACCTGAAGTGAAGACAGAGCTTTTTATCCCAGAGTTTTCCCAGGTGGGGATGATGATTTCCTTTCTTTCCTGGTGGACAGACATAAGTTCATAAGTTATGCTGTTGTCCTTTTTTATCTATCTCTAATACCTAATTTCTCTTTGTGTAAGGGTTGCTTGGTTTCCTTCTACACACTGGACAATGGTTGCAATGATAATATTTTAGAAGCTCTCAAAGTCTTTTTCTTTGTATGTGGGAATTTAATTTATGAGAGTTAAACTTGGTTTTATTTCAGGGTGAAGCATGCCTCTAATATAGAAAGAGAATACCTTAAAAACAAATAATCAGCAAAACAAAGCCTTCCTGTAAAACTTCTATTTACAGGAACGTTCTGTGTGAGGTGAGTTTCCCAATTGCTTCTATTGCTATTGGCTTAATAACAAGTATGGATCCAGGTCAAGAGCTGAGGGTATGGATGCTTTGACAGCTCTGCACCCCTGCAATGTCAGATTTTTTGGGAACAGCTTCGATTTTACTCCCAAAGCAGGTGGCACAAAACATGATTGCCCTGAAGAGTGAGAGGTTCTTTGGGCACCTGCAATCTGCACTAACAGGTCACTTGAGGAGAGCTGACAAGATCTGCAGAAGGTAGGAGCTCAATTTTCACTGACTTGAACTGTGAAGGCAAGAAAAGCATTTGAGGAAAGTCACAGATAGGTATATCCATCTAACTTAGTAGGATGAGGTCAGTGTGCCCCTGCAGACAGTAATCTCTGAAGAAGATCTGACAGCAAATCCTTTTCCATGAGCCCTTCCTAACGTGCTTCAGAATTAATTCCTGCATTGAGCATATTTGACATGAAATTTATATAGACTCACAGATGTAACAGGCCTGGAAGCACACAAATAGGTGCAGGGGGTCAGCTTTGCCCTGCTCTTCTGCTATTAATGAATGCATCTGAGAGTGATGGGGTCTCTTGCCTGGACTCCCCAGTTTTGCCAGTTCTCTCCCCTCAACTTCCCAGCACTGTTTTGTTTTCTTTTTTTTTCTTGTCAGAAAAAAAGAAAGTTCCCTGTGGGGAACAGATTTAAGTTATTTTCTCTTCCCTTTGTTCAGAGAATGCAAAAATACAAAGCAGGAGACAGGTCAAGCTGGGAAGGGTGAAATGACAATGCTATCCAGAGCCTGTTAAATATCTTTTTATTATTATTTATTATTATTATTTTTTCCCTCTCTTCCTTTGCCCCCAGAGGAGGCCACAGGCTAATTATGATAATGTTTTCTTGTATTTCCATTTCGTTGGCTGATCTCCCAGCCACTAAAGTAAACCCCAAATCTCAACGGGGAGGTCATATTCATCCTTGTTTATGGGACTCATTTTCAGAAATAACACTATCCTTTTTGTGAAACTTCCCTGGCAGCAGCTCAAAAAAATAGCTGAAGGCAAACAGATTCCTTGGTCAGGGTTGAGAGCATCGCAGCTGCTGGAAGAGCCCAGTGCAAGGGACTGCTGGTGATCACCACCTTGGAGGGCAGTAGGCTGGGTAGCTGGAGAAGGGAGAGGGGTATGAGAAAGAAGGGGTCTGTTGTGACAGGACAAGGGGAAATGGTTTCAAACTGAAAGAGGGGAGGTTTAGATTAGATATAAGGAAGGATTTTCTTATGATATGAGGGTGGTGAGGCACTGGCACAGATTACACAGAGAGATGCCCCACACCTGAGTGCACTCAAGGTCAGGCTTGATGGGGCTCTGAGCACCTGATGGAGCTGTAGACATCCCTGTTCATTGCAGGGGAACTGGCCCAGATGGCCTTTGAGAGTCCCTTCCAACTCAAACAATTCTACGAAAAGGTAAATACGAAAATGAAACCTGCTCTACTAAATTTTGCAAGAATCAAGATACCTGTTCAGATCAGGAGGTTAACCCAACAATGTTTAACCTGGTTAGAGGTCAGCCTGGGGTGCGGTGGCCTGGCAATGCAGACACATGGCAAATCTAAGTCATGCCCCAGAGTAGCAATTCAGCTGCCTCTTATAGAAGCTGATGTGGCCACTCTACATAGAGTGAGGCAAATTGTTACCACGGAGCTTGTGGTAACACTGGGTTGCTCAGAAGAAGGAAAAATTGGCTGCATGTAGGAGATCAGGAGCATAGAGTGTTGCATGGAATTGATCAGTAGTGGGATAGCAATGTAGAATGGGGGAAGAATTGAGGTTCTGACATCTGTTTTTATCTTTTCTTCTTTTTTTCTTTTTTTCTTTTTTCTTTTTCTTTTAATGAATGGGTTTAAGTGAGAAGGGAGCGACCCTCTGTTATTTTGTCATTGCATTCAGGTATCTGTTTTTCTCTTTTTATCCTGTGCCTCTGCAAATGAGTATTTGTGCAAGCCTGCAATTCCTGACCACGGGGCCCTGCTGATTTACTGATGAACCCTGTCAAGTATAGAACCAGTAATTTGTACACATTCTCTTGGACAAACTGTACCTTGTGCAATCTCTGTTAGTAGATCTGCCAGTCCTATAGCAAAGTGGGATCTGCCAGGCTGCAAAATCTAAATGTGATTCATACAAGAGGAGAGGATCTGGTACTTCAAATTTCAGTGGCAGCTGACAGCATCTCCTTTATGGAGGGACAGAGCAAAGTAAATACAGATAAATGGTGCTTATTCTATTCCAATTTGGGCAAGACTGGACTTTCGTGTGTTGCTGGCTTTTTTTTTTTTTTTTTCCCACTGCACAAACATTTTAATTCCCTTTTCTTATTTACTGCTACCTCTGTGCATCTTCTCTGGCTGCCTGAGATTATCATTACTCTGTGTAAAAACTATGCAGAAACAACAAAAAATGCACTGGGAGCAAGCTGCTGCAAACAGGTTCCGCCTCAGGGGAGACTGGGGAGTGGGACTTGTTCTGCCTTGAGGGACTTAGAATCATAGAATCATAGAATCACTAAGGTTGGAAAAGACCTAAAAGATCATCCAGTCCAACCGTTCACCTATTCCCAATAGCTCCTACTAAACCATGTCCCTCAACACAACATCCAGTCTTTCCTTGAACACCCCCAGGGACGGTGACTCCACCACCTCCCTGGGCAGTCCGTTCCAGTGCCTGACCACCCTTAGTGTACCTGAATACACATCATTTCCAACTTTAAAAGAAAATGTGGTTTGCAACTAATTTCCTGTCAGATTAATGCTGGAAAGATTTAAAAATACATAAAGCTGGAGTAACAGTTGGTCCAGACAGAGATGCACTAGCCACATCAGCGGCATAATCCATTGCCAGCTGTTAATGGCAGAAGCTGTGGGAGTGGAGGCTGTGATAAGCTCAGGCCAACAGGCTGTTGAGGAAGATGGTGGGAAGAAGGTCAGTTCATAGCAGAAAGTCCTATTCTTGGATTTTGGAACTGATAGCCCAGGGATGTGATGGATGCCCCATCCCTGGAGATAATGTCAGGCTGGATGGGGTTCTGAGCACCTGATGGAGCTGTGGATGTCCTTGCTCATTGCAGAAGAGTTGGAGTAGATGGTCTTCAAGGGTCCCTTCCAACTCTATGACTCAGGTTCACCTATGAAAAGAAGTCCTGGTGGGTGCTCAGCTGAGCACTCTGTATGGTTATTCTACCATGTACATGTGTGTCCCGCACTCCATTCCACTTACAGAGCCAGTAAATAAATTCTAGGAGATGGCTTAGTGCTTTTAAAGGCTGAGATAATGAAGATTGGTCTGGGATAATAAAATAGTATGGCCTGAAGACAGAAGGCTGAAAGGAGGGGGATACCCAAGAGGGACCCGGCTAAGAAGGAGATTGGGGTGAGGTAGTTGATGTGAGGGGGAAGAAGAGCTGATGAATCCTGCTGAAGTGGGATGCTGTCCAGGGGCTGGGGAAGCATAGAGAGGTGAGCACATGAGATGTTCTGCCTGTTATTCCCAGCCTCCCAGAGGGTAAATTAAGTTGGTGGTTTTGCCTTAATCCCTCGACCACATCACCCAAACCACTGCCTGCTCCAGAACAGCAGTAGGTCTCTGCTCCTGCTAGCTGAGCTTGGGGACCCTGTGCTGCATCTATGGAAAGCCGAATAGCTTCCTGCTGTGCTTAGAGACATGTCAGTGCTTCCCAAGACTGCCCTCATCAGGCTGGCTGCAATCTGCTCTCCATCCTGTTCTCAGAGCCTGATATTCTGTGGTTAAGAGGTCCCCATAAACTTTTGAGAACTTTCCTGTTTATCACTGTCTTGATGCCCTGCTGGGAGAAGACCATCTAGTTCCAACCTCTTGGACATTTTCTAATGCAATCCAGGTATCAGCGTGGATTTCCCACGACTGCTGTAATAAGAAAGATGGCAGGAATGGGAAAACAGAAGAATGTCCATAGGAAGATGTTGTGCAGAATTGGAAATGCCTCATATGAGGAATGAATGGCATTTAAAGATCTGCAATGTCTAACACTAGCATGGCAAAGTGAGGGCCCTGCAACTTCTTGAGTTTCAGCCAGGAAAGGATATTGATCCTGTGGGAATCTACTGTCTATGTCATACCATGTCCACATCACACATTACTAGCACTGATGAATGCATTTCCACGTGCTACGTGGATGTATGCAATTTGTCATCGCTAGGAGGGATGGAGGACACATCTGGTCCTGCAGCACATATGTCTGCTGTTCCTTGGAGAACAGTTCAGGCTGAGTTGGTCTCACTGATACTCTTCCAACTTCACTTGCTCTCACTTCTCCTTGGGGAAGCTTCATCCTTCCAGCAGCACAGGCAGAAGGAGAAGAAAATCTGCTTGAATAAAGCTCAACTTCCAGACTCATCATAACTCATGCTAAAGGGAATTAACTGATTTTAATGTGGATGGAACACAGATGTCCACTTTATTTGATGATAATGGCAAAAGATTTTTGGAGGTTGAGGTGATACCACGACAGCAATAGAACAGGTCTTTTATCATCCTTGTCTCTTCCACACTCTTGAAGATGATTACCTGTGTGTATCTCCTTCTCTAGCCATCCTGTCATGTAAATGCCTGTCTTACTATGTCTCGTGTTTTGCAATCAGCACCTGCAGTTCATCAAGGGGAACTGACATTTAAGGTACACTTCCAGGATACAGAGTTTTAGGAGAACATCTCCCTAACTAAAGTTATTGCTTTCCTTCTTTGCATCCCTGGAGCAAATGAGGTGGAACCCAAGAGGCTGAGCTATGAGAAGTTCCTTCCAAGCAAGGACAAAACTCATGACAACTGCTTAGCTGTGCTGCCAAGCAAAAGTGGTCTTCCTGGTAATTAGAAGATGGTGTTGGTGTAGAGAGGTCAGCAGTGATCAGTACTGGTTTGAGTTATATTCTTGAGTCACGAACAGCACACGTTACACTCCACACTTGTGCAACACAGTTACTGTAGTCATGAATGATTAATCCCAACCTAAAGCTAATGTCTAATATGTTCGGATTAATTATGACCTAAGACCATCCAGGTCTTAACTCTGACTACATCAGATTCAAAATAGGCATCTGCTGGGCATCCAAGCTCAAGAGCTCAACCCACCAACTGTCCTCTCACAGAGGCAGGGACCGTAAGGTTTAAACTCAATCTAGAAAAGCTGGTGTATGCAATTCAATCTACCGAAGGATGCAGGAATGTTCCT